CTGCACTCAGCCAGTGAGTCCACCGGCCATCCCTATATAGGATCCGAACCCGCAGCGCAAGCGCTCCTGCACTCCCAGTGCCGCACTCTCCCGAGCGCACCACGGGCTCGGCCCTCTCCAGAAGCAGCTCTGCGCCCCACCCCAGACCCTCATCATGGAGCCCTGACTGCTTGTCCTGATTCTCTGCACGTGCCCTGCTGGGGTACCTGCCTATTGTCTCTCCCTCTACCCCACTGGAAGGCCAGGGTCGAGTCTGCTTCCCTCACACCTGTCCCCAGGGCCTAGCACCCAGCAGGCACTTCATAAATGCTGCCGGGATGGCTGAATGGAAGGGCAAGACAGCCTATGGTCTCCCTAAAATTGTCTCTCTACAACATCCACGTCAATTTAGGGCCAAATGCCATTGTGTTAAAAGAGACTGAAGTACCTAACTCAGTCTCCCAGAACCAAATCTAGCTTTTCCAAAGGACTCTCATTTTCAAGGTGATTAGTGTGCCTTGAACTAGTGCATTCTCCAAAGGATGCTAGAAATGCTCGATTAAGCCTTCAGACTAGGAGTAAGGGGCTTCCAGGAGTAAAACTCTTCCAACGCTGTCCTGTGTGGAATACAAGGGACTGGCCACTAAGTGTCGCCACACACAAACCTCAGCACTGCAGTGCGTGGTTCCCATCCCCAGCAGGCTCACGGAGGCTCCTGACCATGCTTCAAGCTGGCCAGTCCTAGCCAGTGTAGGAAAGGGATCACTCCTGCTCTGGCTCTCCTTATCCCAATCCTCCCATCACCAGCCACACTCCAGTCATTCAGAGAGCCAGCCCCACCCAGGCAAGAACTAGTGTCTGGTTTTTGCTGTCGCCTTCCCAGGGCCTTGTGGTCCTGGCACACACAGTAGATGCGTACTGGAAGAACGTCTGTTCTGCATCACAGAACCATTCTACACAGGGCCTATTTTACAGAATTTTGCTACTCTAACAATCCCACCCTCCACGCCCCGTACAGATTGGTGCCGTCCGTCTTTGCTGCTGCAGCTCACTGTCTCTGGGGACAGCTCATGCTGTGATTACTAGGGGCCTGTGGCTGGCCTGGTGTGGACCTAGTATGTTGTCGGGGCCTGAATGGGTCTTCAGAGCCAGGTTTCTCCCACTTCAACATGCTTCTCTGGTAGAGGCCGTTTCTTAAACTGACTCTTCTTGCATCAGGGAAAACTCCTGACTTGTCATTTCTAGAAATTCTGGTCACCTAGTATTCTCCGAGCTCTAGTTTGAGCCAATTCCACCCTGCTGCCTGACAGAGAAGGAACACCAAGGGCTGGATCTGGGGCAGAATGGGGCCAAGAGCACGTCCCCACCCTTCACACGCCAAACCAAATGGACTAGAAACGTCACGACTAGTTTACATAATTCTGTCCTAATTTGCAGAAGGGTGTCAAAGCGAAGAAAATTAATAATTGAAGAGAATAAATCATAACCAGCCCAAACAGCATGACATTTCAGTCACTGGTGTGCTGCAAGAATGTTAGAGTATGCTTGGGTATACTGCTTATCCAAACAAACGTGCTATTAAATTTTCGTCACAATTCTGACAAGCAGATTAACTTCACTTAAGAATTCTTATTTTCCCCTGTAGGGATCAAGAACTGGTCTCCATCAAAGTGTGTTTAAATTACATAAGCTCAAATTGCAACTCATTCAGACACACTAATTAATCATCTGGTCCTCGGACGTAGGAGCCAGAAGCAACAATGCTTCTCAGTTACGGTCTCCCAGCTCTTCCCATAAACATCCCATCGCCCAAAATGGGGCAGCGCTTCCCTTCCAAATCCTCAGAAAATTTCTCGGTGTTAGTTGCCCACGTCAAAGAAGAGGAGCCAAAAAAGGGAAAACAGGAAGAAACAAAAGGCAACTGTTAACTGTCCTAATGAATGAGGAGGGGAGAGGTCTGCGGTTACGGATTACGCAGTAGACAACCACATGCTGTGTTAAAATAGGTACCACTCCAGAAAATTACATCTGACTGGGGCAAATACAATGAAGAGATACTGAGATATATACATTCACTCCAGACACGGAGATGCAACACTGCCACAACGCACACACACTGCTGGTTCTGAGCCTGCCTCTCTCTTGAAGGACATTTGGCCGAGCAGGAAAGGACAGTGAGTAAGTGGCTCCCAACCACTGTGAAGGATCCACACGAAATGAGAACTGTGGCCATGACCTGAGAGTCCACACCATACTCTCCAAAAGACACTTGAGGGCATCTGTGAGAGGAACCCTTGAATGCCACACTCCTGTCCAGCCTCTGTAGGGACCTAATCTCGACCACCACACGACCTCCAGCTTTTAAGCAGGTGATCTCATTTTAGAAGAATCAGGAGGGAGGGCAGGAGGCCCGGAGAACAAGACTGCTGAATATGATGTGCAGAAGTTGGAAGCTGGGAGGCTTCGGCTGCATGTGTGGTTCTCTGGTCTCTCTCTGGGAAATGCAACGCACTGTGAAAAAGAGCTTGGAAAGCTGGCCTCCTTTTGATGGGCACGAGTGGCACTGAAAACAAACACAGCCATCTGCACTCATTTTTATTTATAAATGTGAAGTTAATGCTGTTTGAATACCCACATTTATATAAATCAGACCAACCACTTAAATCCAGGGTGGTCTTGCACCTGCTAGGAAAATATCCAGTAAGCTCAGGCTGGGCCAGACAGCAAGGTGGTCCTCTAGGTGCACAAGCCCTCTCTGGCCCCTGAGTCACAGCACCTGTCTTTTGTTTTGTCCATTTTAAGACACAGTGTGATAGATTTTAAGTGTCTACACTTAAAAATGTACATTTACATTTTTACGATGTTTACATTGCACAAAAATACAATGTCATATATTTGTATGACTTAAGAGTTTATATAAAATATATACCACAACATTCACCACAGTATCCACACATCTGAAGAAATGAGTATTATTAGGGATGAAGGAGAAAGGTAACGAGATAACTTCACAGTCAGCGCTTGAGCTTGCTGTCCAAGGCCACCCCCTGCCCCCACCCAATACTGCTCTACGGCCACATTAGGGTACTTTCCCTCAGGTCCTTACCTGCTTCTGGAAATTAACTTCAGGCAAACAGGTGCTGAACTGTGAAGGGAGGGCTGTGGCCAGGGAGAAATAGGAAGGTGCCGCCCTGTGGAAACACAGAACACGGGTCATGGGAGGAGCCAGGAGGGTCCCAGCGGCTGCCAGAGTTGGACCTGGAACACACGCCCCACACTAAGGGATATGGGACCACTGGCCAGAAGCTCACAGAGATGGGCTCTGCCACAGTCCAGAAATACCTGCGTGTCTGGCAAGCCCAGGGAACCTGCACCAACACCTCTGGGATAAGGCGCTGACTGCGGCTCTGCTGGCCTGTCATTTCCGGCTGAAGTGGGTCAGCCTGCCCGACACCACCCTCCTCCCCTTGGGTTAGTCACCACATCTAATTGAGAGACATCATGGACCAGAATGAATCACTCAGGACAGCTGATGGGCAAGTCCTGCACCTGCACGAGACGACGTCCCGCCCAGCAAACACAACACACCAAGCAAGGCACCACTACTCGGTGTCCCACCTCCTCTGTGCACCACGCTCGTCTGTGTGCTTGGCAACCATCTGCCCTGGTACAGGTAAACATCACAGACATACACGCCTGGCCACGGGCCTGGTTGGCCCAAACATGCCTCTTCCAGGATCACAGAGAATTGTGTCTTTTCTTTTGTCTCCTACATACAATCTCACCATTCAGGTCACATGGACAGGTTAATCCAGTAAGAGTGTGGATGGTTGATGGGTGGGAGGCCCAGGAGAGGCAGGTGGGGTCCCAGGGAGCCTTGTCCCCAGCTCCAGCGCCACCACCTCCGCTGCAGCGGCCACAGACCTCATGAGCCCCTGTGTGCCCTGGAACACCTGGCTTAGAGGTGGGTTCCCAGCTCTCAGCCCTGATGAGCAGAAGTCCGAGGACAACCCTTTGAAAAGGCAGTTCTGAGGGAGGCGCGGGACCAAGGACAGCTCAGAAACCACAGTCTTCAGTCACTTCTGCAAAGAAAGCTGCTTGCTTACCCAAGGGGCTGAGGAAAACGTGTTTTCCAGAGAAAATGGAACTCAGAAGTCTCCCCTAAAGTCAGACATTGCTCTCAACTTCTGAGTCTCTGTTCTATGTGTCTTCAACCAGCGATGGCCCTGGGTTGGAAGAGCCATCACCGTGTTTTCCAGAGAAAATGGAACTCAGAAGTCTCCCCTAAAGTCAGACATTGCTCTCAACCTCTGAGTCTCTGTTCTATGTGTCTTCAACCAGCGATGGCCCTGGGTTGGAAGAGCCATCACCCACCACTGTCACCCACTACTTCTACCCCCTTCACCAACAGGCTAACCCTACAGGAATAGGCCATTTATAGCAATTTATTGCTCTTTTATTCCTCTAGATATCAAAGCACTGAAATACCAAGGAACCCTGGGGAACTTTCCACCCAAGTCCCCGCATTCCTTCAAAAGGAGATGAAAAGAGAGCCCTCTCCCACTTCTGAAGGGTTTTAGTTTCTTCAACCACCATGACAGCCAATTATCTCTCCGGTCTACAAGGCTCAGACCCCTCCAAGAAGCAAAGAGGAATTCTTATTCACGGCTTTAAGGGATGAGGACTGTCCAAGGATTCAGGGTGATGTGGACGTAGCTCTCAATCGTTTCTGAACAAGAGGCCCTGTACTGGGCCAACCACGTGCATATCATGTATGGGCCAAATGAGGAGCTCGGAGGCAGGAGGGAATAAGGCCCAGGGCTTTCCTCTGCAAGTGGCAGAGCAGCGGGTGTGCAGAGCTCTGCAAGAACATAGGGGAGGGACGAGCTGCTGGGGGCTCTAAGAAGTCACCGGATCTGAGTCCTGAAGGACGAATAAGAGTTCGCTGGTAAAGAGAATGGGGGAGGCACAGGGAACAGACATTGTCTGGACAATTACTGAGCATCTACATGTATTATACAGCAGCATGGAGAATACACAGGTGAGCAAAACAGCCACGGTCTATTTGTAATGAGGGGCTCCCGGTGAGCAGGGGAGACAGACACCAACCAAGTCATACCCAGGGGTAAGTGCATCTCAGACACAAGGACAGAAAGGTGAAGTATAAGGTGCCCTGAAGATGAGCTCCTGGGAGCCTGACCAGCCCTGGGGACTTCTGAGCATCACCTGAGGGTGAGGAGGAGCTGGGTGGGGGGCGTCTTCCGTGCTCAGGGGGCACACACCTGGAAAGGCCCTGAAATAGGAAGAGATTTGGTCTTTTGGAGCAACTAGAAGAAGGCAGCCTCGGGAGCCAGGGCGAGATGACCCAGGAGCTAGGACAGGCGGGTCTCTAGGAGGGACAAGAAGTGTTTACGCAGAAGGAAGTCAGTCAGTCAGGTGTGACTTCACGAGACCACCATGGCCGCAGGTGCGGAAGCAGCGGGCGTACAGGGGCAGGCGGGTCTCTAGGAGGGACAAGAAGTGTTTACGCAGAAGGAAGTCGGTCAGTCAGGTGTGACTTCACGAGACCACCATGGCCGCAGGTGCGGAAGCAGCGGGCGTACAGCAGGAGGGAGCAGGAGGGCAGAGAGGAGCCCGGCGAGAGGAGAGGCTGGGGCTTGCTTGGCTCGGGGGACAAAGAAGGGCCGGGAGGAGGGAAGAGTCTGGCGCTGGGGCTGTGGGGAGAGGCCCAGCACGTGGGGCTGCCTGGGTAACAGGCTGGATGGCCAGGACTCACCGAGAGGCCCACGGAAGCTCGAAAGCTGAGGGATGGCGTGAGCTGGCTCGTCCTTCCAAGTCAGAGCTACGGAGAACATCTGCAACGGCTTCCGGAGCCAGAGTGGAAACGTGGGGACCAGCCAGACCAGGAGACATCAGAGGCACTTTTGAGAGATGCTTGGACTAGGTCTAGGTGGGGGCTTTGGGGAGAAGGAGCACCTGAGGAAGGGCAAGTATGAGTGGGTGGCCGCACGGGCAGGCCGTCAGAGAGGAGGCCCGGGCTAGCCGCAGCTGGGCAGTGCCGCGGAGGGCAGGGACCAGCGGGGAGCCTCTCCACACTGTGGAAAGTCCATGTGGTCATCAGCCCTGGTCAGCAGATGATCATGGGCAGTGAGGACTCTTCCGGGGTAAGCCGGCTGTGGGTGGGTTAACACAGTGCCTGTATGAGGGTGAAGAAGCGGGCAGGGGACGGGACCCCCGGCAGGAGGGGCTGGGCCACACAGGGGGAAGGAACAGTGAGGGCAGCCACCAGAGAGGTGGGAAGAGATGGCTTTTCTAAGTGGGGGACAGAGCGGGGCCAGGAGGACGAGCTGTGTGCTCTGCCGGCCACCCTTCCCACGTGGGTCAGGCCCCACACATGCTGTCAGGCTCCTGTTCCCATCACAGCATTCATTAATTAACCTTGTGATTGTGATTGTTTAAAGCCCGCTCCCGCTCCCCCTCCCGTGCCCATCTTCAACAGCCATAGAACTCCAGAGGCTAATCCAGCAGCTGGTGCCCACAGCCCCACCAGGCGCAGCCTTCTCCCTGGGCTGGAGGCCCCTCTCCTTCCAGCACTTCCAGTTCTCAGGTCCCCTCCCTCCTGAGTGTCCTCCTGGAACTCAGCACTCACCCAGAGCTGTCACCCCTCAAGGAGCGGGGGCGGGGCAGTCTTATCTGTCCTTGTTCCTGCAGTCACTTTGCCTGGGTGTTGCCTTCTACCACCCTGAGCATCCAGGCCTGTTAGAGTCTCAATCTTAGTTGTCTCCTCCACGTGGGGTCAGTGGACAGTGCTGGGGGCCCAGGCGAGGGTCTCCTCAAGGTCACCACCCAGAATAGTCTCAAGGAAAAGGAGGGAAAAAGACAGGCTTAACATGAAGCAGCGGGGGGAATCACATCACAAAGGAAGAGAAGGGCAGGGAGCAGAGGAAAGGAGAGAGGGAAGAGGCTCTGGGGAAGCGGGAGTCGCTTGCACAGCAGGCCTAGGGCTGATGTGACTGCAAATTGGTCATAGCTGGGCCTGGAGGGAAAAGGGGTGAACAGTGACAGCCCCTTCATGCTGGGGCAGTGGGCCAGGGGGAGACAGGATTGCAGACCAGAGGGGAGGGCCCGGCTGGGATAGTTGAGAGGACGACCGCCCTCTCCTGAGAATTGCTCCAGGCGAATTCCTCAGCCCAGAAAGAGGAAGGAAGAGAGCAGCCTGCAGGGTGGGGCCAGGCTGAGCCCAACAGGGCCTTTCTCCAGGGGCCGAGGCAGCAGGGGGCAGGGGCCTGAGGAGGAAGGGAGCTCAACCGTAGGCCCCGCCAGCCCGAGGCGCATAACATCCAAACAAGGTCCCCAGTCACCAGTTCAGAGTCAGCTGCCTGAGGAGCCCTGAGGAAGAGGAAGACCTGTAGTGGGGAGGCTGGGGAGGAGCCACCGAGCCCTGCTTCCCCACGCCCGCCCGGATGGCACTGCAGGTCTCAGACAAGCAAGTCCGAATGGCCTGTCTCCTGTCTTCTACGCTCAAAACTGTGTCGATACATGGAAATATGGCACGGAGCAGAGCCAAGCCAAAAAAAGAACACAGAATAGTCTGTAAAGCAACATGCATATGGCCATATAAACCCAGGGAGGAATGCAGGGCGGAATCCCATGAGACAAGGAAGAGGGCTTCGTGCAGGTCCAGCGTGGGGTGGGGGTGGGGAGGTGACTGCCAGGTGCCTGGAGAGGGGCACCAGAGCGTGGCCGTTTCCTACGTGCTTTGGGAGTAGACAAGGCAGAGAGACTTACCAACTGCGTGGCCTTGGGGACATGTGTTCGTTCATTCTACCAACAGATTTACTGAGCACCTACTATGTGTTGGGATACGTCCCTACATACATTCTACATACACTCTAGTGAGAGGAGAGAATAGACAATAAACAAAAAATAAGCCATGGGTAAATAACGTGGTATAGACAAAGGTGATAGGTGCTACGATAAAAACCAAGCAGGTGAAGGGAAACAGGAGTGTGGAGGTGGTGCAGGTGGGCCCTCCTGAGGTAAGGCTGGAAGGGGGTGAGGGGGTGAGCTCAGGAGCAGAGCTGGACAGAGAGGCCCCGTGGAGGGGGTATGCAGGGTGGCTGGAGGAACAGCACCCATGGGTGCAGTGAGGGGGCTCATTGTTAGGGCCTGGAGGTCTCTGGGTGAGCTCCACTTTGACCTGCATGGAAAGAGCAGCCCCTGTGAGGCCAGGAGCAGAGGAGTGGCCCAGTCTGACTTGGAGTTTAGCAGGGCCTCCCTGACTGCTGAACCGGGGAAGGGTCTGCAAGGGCAAGAGCAGAGGCCGTGGCAGGAATTCAGGCAAAACTGCCAGTATGTCGGACGAGGGAGGCAGGGTCAGAGGCAGCCAGGTTGGGGACACTGGTGCTGGCAGACCACAGGATGGCCAGCAGGCGTACTGCAGGGCATGGGAGGGAGGACATAGGTGAGGACCTGGGTGAGGGCTCCCAGGTTTTCGGGCTGAGCAACCGAAGGTCGGCATTCCTATCAGCTGAGATGGGGGAGGCTCAAGTGGAGGAGTTTTGAGGGACAATAGCAAGTCGGATTTTAGACAGTTTAGAGCCTTTCCCATCTCTAAGCCCCAGTTTCCTAATCTGTAGAATGCGGTGATAATGGTACCTGCCTCAAAGCGGGTTATGAAAATTACATAACATAAAGAGCACTCGGCATAGTGCCTGGCACAGAGCAAGCGCTCAGTAAACACTGGTTACTATTACTAATGATAAGAGACACAGACAACGCAAGTAAATAGTTTTCACTAATGGATGGGAGATGGGGGTAAAAATGAACAATAAGAATTCAAAGGTTTAAGATAACCCCAGCTTCTTTTCCTCCCCTCTTCCCTCCCAGTTCACCCACCAGCCCCCAACTGCCTTACAGGAATGATAAGGGGTAAAGAACTGGGGGCACGGGGGACCCACTTCCATGTTCTGCAGGTTGCCCAGAATCACTAGGGACGCTATTGACGTTTTAGACCATGTAATTCCTTGTTGTGCGGGGTTGTCCAGTGAAACACTGTAGATGTTTAGCAGTGTCCCTGACCTCTACCCACCAGATACCAGTAGCACCTCCCCTCCAGTTGTGACAACCAAAAATGTCTCTGACATTGCCACGTGTCCCCTGGGGGACAAAATCACCCCGGTGAGAACAATGCTTTAAAGAAATAGCTGACACATACTCTGGATTACTATTTTCCAAGTGCTGTTCTCAACCCTTCAGGTAAATGAATCATCCCAATAAAGGTTTACAAATAAGGACATGGAGGTATGGAGAGGAGACGTCACTCACCTGTGATCACAGCACCACCCACACTGCACTGGGATTCGAACCCAGATCATCCAGGCTCTTACCCACTCTGCTCTGTTGCTCTCGAGCACACAAGGGAATGGATACAAACCCACTCAGAGGCAGGGTGAGGGAGGCGGACGTGCAGCCCTGCTGGAGGCCCTTACCGGGTGGCACTGCAGATCCTCTGGCTCCACTCTCAGTAATTAAACTGCAACAGCCTCCCAGACTCTGGGGCCTCAGGAGCACTGCTTAATTAATAAATTCCACACTGCAGCCTTCTGGGTCCAGAGCCAGGCTCGAGTTCCTGGACCGCGCTCCACCAGCACAGCACAAGCAAAAGAGGTCTCCTGATGATGCTGTGGCGAGTCAGCAAGTCTGCAGGACGCGGTGCCATTCTCAGGGGATGAGCTTGGCATAGAGAATGTGTCCTGAGGTCGCCAACCCAAATTCAAATGGATCTAAGCTCCTTCCTGCTCAGTACATTGCTTCATTTAATGTTAGTCCTCACAACAAGCCTGCAAAGTAGGAATTATTCCCATTTTACAGATGAGACAATGGAGGCTCATGTAAGGTAAGTAATCTGTCCAAGGCCTTAGAGCCCAGATTCAAATCCATGCTTTCCCTCCATTCTTTCAGTTCTTTCTGGCTCAGAAGGTGACAGAAGCATTATCCATTTTAACTGAAATTAAAATGAAAATTCACCTTACAGAAAAAAAAAAAAAAAGGAAAGCCAGAGTCCAATCTACTGCCAAACGGACCTCAATCAGAAAATAAGATTTGGCGGGCTGGCCCGTGGCTCACTCGGGAGAGTGCGGTGCTGATAACACCAAGGCCACAGGTTCGGATCCCATATAGGGATGGCCGGTTCGCTCACGTGGGAGAGCGTGGTGCTGACAACACCAAGTCAAGGGTTAAGATCCCCTTACCGGTCATCTTTTAAAAAAAAAAAAAAAAAAAGAAAGAAAGAAAGAAAATAAGATTTGGCAGCATAACAACGTAACACAGTGAATGGCCCTTGATGAGAACCAGGGTGGGGGAGAGGGAGGAGCCAGAAAGACCATTACTAGGCAATTTTGGGAAAATTAAATACAGTAGTTGTGACATGACTGTATTATATCAATGTTACATACGTGGAGTGTTATGACTTCATCATGGTTGTGCTGGAAAATCTCCTGGTGCTTAAGAGATATAAGCTGAAGTATTTAAGGGTGAAATGTCTCACTGGTCACAACTTGCTCTCAAATGGTTAAGAAAAACAGTGCACGCGCGTGTGCGTGTGTGTGTGTATGTGTGTGTAGAGGCAGTGGCAGAGAAGAGCACATGAAAAATACAGCAAAATGTCAACACTGGTGAATCTAGGTAAAGGGTACGGTATTTGCTGTGCTATTTCAACTTTTCTGTAGGTTTGAAATCAACATTGAAAAATTGGCAAAACATGGGCCAGCCCATGGCTCACTTGGGAGAGCGTGGTGCTGACACCACCAAGTCAAGGGTTAAAATCCCCTTACCGGTCCTCATACTGGCAAGCTGCCAAAAAAAAAATTGGGGACACATTAAGAGGCCACTTGGAAATGGTAACAGAAGGCAGTGGGGAGAGGCTTGCAGTTGCTCTCCGAGGGCCCCGTGATATATAGAGTCCTGCCTGGATCGTCCCCAGTTGGCTGTCTCCCCGTTGGCCATGGCTGGGGCTCACTGAGCAGCGAGCAGCTGTGAAGCTTGGCCACAGGTCTGCTAGCATGGCAGTGATTCCAGTGTTCCCGACGTCCACCCTCTGCTCACTCATGCCTGCTGCTTCACAGCAACGCCACTTGCTCTGTTCCAGATTCTGTTCTAGGTGTGGAGCTCTCTGAGGAAGGCCCTTCGGTGAGGTTCTGGCAGCATTTGAATCAAATCCACCTGACCTGATTTAAAACAGGGCCACAATGACCAGGGTGCAGCCTCCATGCCTGGCTGTCCTGACTACCATGGGAAAGGCCAGCACAGAGCCACGGCAGTGGGACTGGGAAGGAGGCACCTGGAAACACCCCTTGGCCTATGGGATATGCATCCTTCTTTCTGAGGAGAGGCTCTGGACTCAGAGCAAGCCCTGCCACCAGCAGGTGCCTCGCACAGACCAAAGGGCTCCAGGAGAGGCACAAACCTGCCTGGAGACAGTTTCCCCAGGACCCACAGGCTGGACAGGAAGCTGGAAGAAATGGTCCCTTCCATCCCGCCTGGTGCAGGGGCAGGCCGTCAGAGCCCAGCTTACCACCACACTCTCTCTACAGCAGTGGCTCTCAGTGGGGGTGATTTCACCCTCCAGGAGACATTTAGTGAGGTCTGGAGACATTTTTGATTGTTATGACTGGGAGGATGCTAGTGGTAGGGCAGGAATCAGTGCCCCGTGGCCAGTGCCCAGGGTGAGAAACCTGCTCGGTGGCCACCTCAGAGTTGCCGGTTGC